AGTCTTTGTTAAGAGTAGAAGTAGCATTCTTGGTGCTATTCTTGTAACGACGTTTGAAATTATATAAAAAGTTTAAGTTCCTAAAACTGGTTGTAGAACTATATGCTCATGGTGAGCATTTATTTTGTAAAATAGCTATTAAGACCAAAACTTTTATCAGTTAAAAATCTGATCAAATAAAAGTAGGAATATATTATGGTATTTATGACATCAAATCATGGTAAAGGGGTGATAGCTTTTGCAAGCTTGTCTCCAAGCACAGTACATTTTTGTGGATTTTTCAAGAATTCAGCTTCCTGTAATTCTTCTCTTCCTCTGCCTAAAGTGACGCAGTGTACCAAATAATTTTGAGTAATGGTTAGATTGGGCTAGATTCGCAAGGCTTCCTCTTTAAAAATCATACCTTTAATTTGGGTAAGGAATTACCTTGGCTTCTTTGTTCCTGTGAAAGCAGCATATAAAAATACCCCCTTAGTAACACACGATGGGCTTCTCCTGACAGTTATTTCTACTTATGCACAGTCTTCTTACTCTCTCAGCAACGTCATTCTGAACTTCTTCCATGCCTCAGGTAGGAAATAGGAACCAATTCAAGATTGTTTAAAGAGTTACATGTCAGACCCAAAACTATAAAATTACTAGGGAAAACTCTTCAGGACATTGGTTTAGGCAAATAATTTATGGGTGAGATCTCAAAAGCACAGGCACCAAAAACAAAAGTATATAAGTGGGATATAGCTTCTGCACAGCGAAAGAAACAATCCACACAAGAGACAAGAGACAACCCCTGGAGTGGGGGAAAATATCTGCACATTACTCATCTGACAGGGGACAAATATGCAGAGTCTGCAAGGAACTCAGACTCCTCAAAAGTTAACAACACAATCCCAGTAAAAATGGTCAAAGGACAGGAATAGAGATTTTTCAGAAGACATACAAATGGCTCACAGGTTATGAGAAAATATTCAGCATCGTTAATTAGGGAAATGCCAATCAAAACCACAGTGACATATCATCTTACCTCAGAATAGGTATTATTAAAAAAACAAAAACGAACAGAAGCTGATGAGAATGCAGAGAACCGGAAACCCTGTTACACTGTCAGTAGGAATGCAAATCAGTATAAGCACGATGGAAGCCAGTATGGAGAAATCTAAAACAATGAAAACTAGAACTACTGTGTGGTCCAGCAACCCACTGCTGGGTAGTTATCCAAAGGAAAGAGCTCAGTGTAACAAAGGGGTACCCGCACGCTCATGTTTATCACAGCACTATTCACGATAGCAAAGATATGTATTCATCAATAGATGACTGGGTAAGCAAAACATGCCAAATATACAAAATAGAATACAATTTGGCCATAAAAATAAGGAAATCATGTCATTTTTCAGAAACATGGGTAGATCTGGAAGTCATCAAGTAAAATAAGCCAGGCACAGAAAGATACATGCTTCAGGTTCTCACTCACATAAGGAGCTTAAAAACAAAAAACAAACAAAAAACAAAAAAAAAACAAAACAAAAAAAACTTGGTCTCATGGACACAGATGCCAGAGGCGAGGAAGACTGAGTGTGTGGAAGGGAGAATGAAGAGAGGTTGGCCATTGGGTACAAACCTACAGTTAGAAGAAATAAGCTGTAAAGTTTGACAGCAGACTATGGTGACTAAGCAACAATACTATGTATAAATATTCAAAGTCACCAGAATACACGTTTTAGGCACGTAACAAGCAGTTGTATGTACCCTACAAATAGGTAAAATATTATGTATTAATAAAAGATTCTTTTTAGATGGAGAGTTTTTGCCCAAGCCTCCAGAGAGGGACTCCTTGGATGCTCATAGCACATCCTGTCCACCTGCATCCACTGCTCCACCATGCTGGTCCTGTCTGGGCCTTCATGCTTTGGTCCCAAAGGCAGGTGTTGGTGACTGAGGTGGCCACACTGTGGACCTGGGTGTTGGTGGACCAGCGGGTGGCTGCTAGGGGCTTCTACCTCTTCCTGTTCCACTGAGACCAGATGGAGCCAGGCAGTGACAGGGCACCAGCTTCTTGATAAGATCCCGGGACACAGGAGTGTCACTTGGCCCCTCCTCATCCCAACTCAGAGCCCAAAGCACCCTTGGGCCCGGGCCATGGCTGGGCTGGAACTCAGAAAGGTTAGGATGCAACTCAAGCCTTGTGGCATCTCTGGGTTCTCTGCCCACTCGGGGTGCCTTATACATGTGGCTCAGGACCCAAAGCTGATGGAAAGGGATTGGCACTTCCCCAGCCCATCCTCACTCATGCTAGGCACCCCAGACTGTCCTTCCTGGTCCATCACCCTGGTCATATTCCCCAGGGCAGCTCAGGACTTTTTTCAGGGGTCTTCCATAGTCAGGTGCCTAATAAGTGCTGAGACTTGCAAGGCCAAGTGGGAAGATGGGGGAGCACCCCCAGCAGCCAGCAGGCCAGGCCTTCACTCAGGTGTCTCGTGTTCCTGCTTGTGTTTGACTGTTACAGTAGTGCATGCCAGGGACATCAGCCCCTATCACTCCTGTCAGGAAGGACACAGACAGCAAGTGCCTGGGGATAAGGCATTTGCTAGATAACACTGGCGGTAAGTGCCGGAGCCGGGATTTGAACCTGGATTATGGCACTCTGCATGGAGCAGTGGAAGGTGTGGGGATGCCCATGCAGGAAGGAAGGGCAGCCCAGTCCCACTGAGCCCAGCTGCTCCCTGCGACCCTGGAGGAAACTGCCCTGCCCCAGCTAGGGGACAGCCCAGGAGGTCAGGCTTTCCCTTGCTTGCCAGCT